CATAATCGTCATCATCATAATTTTTTGACATGATTGAATTTAGACATTATCATCGACCGTCATCATGATCATAATTTATACATCATCAAATCTAGGTTTCACAAAAAAAAAATCATCATCAAATCACCTCCATCAACCGTGGGTTTCTTGAAATACCAATGAAAAAAAAATCGCTAGCCTTCGGCATTAGAAGAACCCAGTTTAAAAAAATCGCTAGCCTCCGGCGTTGGAAGAACCCAGTTTCATTAATCTGGCCATTCCGTTCAAAAACGATTAGGCTTTCATTTTTTCTTTTAAAAATCAAAGGGTGATACCATCAATTCTAACTATTTTTCTTTTTATTATTTTTGATAGATAAATTACTGTCCTTTATAAAAAATATTTTATAGTCATGTCCCTTTTATTAATTTGATCTCTTTCACTGCTCTTTTAGACAAATTTTCCCTATTTATTTATTTATTTTTGTGAATGGGAAGGCAAGTCCTTCATTTGAATGGAATGGGAGACTGGGAGAGGGAGGTGGTTTTGGATCAGCCAAAAGCTAGACTATATCCTTAAGCCTTGTTTTAGGGGTAAATTTTATCTTTGTTTTAGTTGAAATTGATATATGAGATTTTTTAAAAACATTTGGCTTAAATTCGAAAGAAATATGGTTTAAACTTTTTTCCCTAAAAAGAAAAATAAAAATTTTCCCGATATTGTAAGAGCTCAAGAGTTAGTTTGCCCATTTAATAAATTACTCTCCTTTTTTATTTTTGCTCTTAAATCTATCTTTTTAATTGTTTTTTGGTCGACTCTGCACTTCCAAAGTTATAATGTAAATTCCCCATTTATTATCTAAAAAAAAGAAAATTCCCCAATCACTATTATTTTCCGAAGATTTCCCCAAACACAAATAATACTGTAAATAACATTTAAACAAAAAAACACGAGGGTGTTGGAATCAATTTTCTTGATACATCCAAGGTAAAAAAAAAAAAAAGAGTGGAAACTAAGGCCCTGTTTGATAATCACTTAAATCTTAAGTATGAATATTTAACACTTAATATTGAAGTCTGATGTCTGAAAACTAAATTCACGTTGTTTGATAAAATCGTCTGAATTTGATGTCTGAAGATTGAAGTCTGAAGTATGAAGACCTAATATGAATACTCAAGTCTGAATGTTATCTAATTTTTAATAACATTAAAATTAAATTATAAATATTTTTTTAGAACAATAATATTTTCATAAATAATGAAATAATAATTTTAACAAATTTTGACATTGTATGTATAACTTCTCATTTAACAAATTTTATGTATACTAAAATAAGTTTGACTTGAGTTTGCAACATTGTGGTTGTTAATTATATTCGTAATTTAAATTCAAATTCAAATTTAATTAATTTATCTTAAGAAAATAAAAGATTTAAAAGAATGTGAAAATAAAAGCCAAAACAAAGACGAGCGAAAAAAAGAAAAAAAAATTGGAGTCTACAGTTTTGGTGTTGATCAGTCCATCAGAACTCAAAGTTGGAGTCTATATTTTTGATACATTCAAGGTAGAAAAAAGGGGGGAAACAACTTCATGCATTTGCGATCAGTACGCAGTTGGGAAGGACTAATTGTCATAAACTAACCTTAAAATTGTGACGCATAAAATTCGTTCAAAATGTATGGAAAGACTAATCGTCCTAAACTAACTTACTAACCTTACTTAAAATTGTGACTAATAAAATTCGTTCAAAATGTATCGAAAACGTAAATTCATTAGGCATAAAAAACTTTGACACTAAAATCGTACAACAAAAACTTTGATTGTCTATACAGTATCATTAAGGTTATGACGATCCTGATCTCGAATAAGTAACTGGAGCAAAAATTCATTCCAAAGGTCAATCGGTCCAGGCAAACACCAATGCAGACAATCATGATCAACCTCTTCATTAGGCCCGCGACAATGTACATCAGGATGACCATCAGGCCTAAGCCGCATTGATGAAGTCACATCTATCAGTCTGAAACTCAACCCTTTTTTGCTTCCTTCTTTTTGAGCAATTTCCACTTCCTCCATCTGTATCCCCCGCAATATCGCCGAGTAAGGATCCAAACTAGTTTCTCTTCGCTTCAAAGGTTTTGTTCGATTACAAAATCCACGATGATTCCATGATCCGCCCTCGAAATGTATAGGAGACACGCTCCTAACAAAAAACACCGCTCCGGGTTTCGATAACTCCCTCATGGCTCTCAGAGATGTCCTTAACGCCTTTTGGTACGCGCTGTAGAATCCTATGTCCGGGACGTTTTCTTCCTTACAGTTGTTGCATCCAAAGAGGCGGCGATTTTCGTAGTACATACTTGTATGGAAGAACCACGGCCCGGCTGAGATGATCATGTAGTCGTAGTTTTCGATCTTGGACGTCCAATATTCGTTAAACTCATCAAGGTATATATTTTCAGGACCCTTTTCTGATCTTTCCGAGTTTGTTAAGAATATAGACCAGTATGACGAAATATTGAAACTGTAATCCTTGTATACCCACTCTTCTCTATCAGATGGTGATACGTCTTGCGGGACGGCAACCTTAACAATTGATACACGCCGCAGAATTAGTACAGCTTGACATTTATGCATGTAAATGTTAAGTAATTAGACTCAGTCTGGACTAATGGTAATAATTTTCCATGCAACAACAAATACAGATGGAATTTGTAACGTGAAAATGTCACGTTTATAGTACGGAATAAGAAATGGACTGATTAATTTCTTTGGTTATTACGAACTTCATACGAGTATTGAAACTTATTGCAAAATTTGCAACTTTTGGTCATGCAAACAGGAAACAAGACTACACGTTTGAGACAAAATAGGATATACTCTCTCCGTTCCAAAATTATTGTCCAAATTAAATTTTCATTTCTAGTTTAAATTGTACTAAAAGTGAAATCTCAAACTGAACAATAATTTTGAGACAGGGAGTACTAATTAATCCTTACTCTGGACAATAGACAACCCAGTGATTGCATGTGATTCCTGGCCAAAGAATCCCCAACAAAAGCCATTGACTTTCCCCTGACCAATTCTAGGAACTTCTCCGGGTTAAATTTCGGAAGCTCGCAGCCGTCGGGTTTCCACCTCCATTTCAAGTAATCAGAATCGGGTCTTCCATTTTTCAGGCAATTCTGATAAGGATACATTTTATGACACGTTTCATTCGTGTAGTAGGGCCCGTCAGGATCCGGTAACCAATCACCGGTGAACAAGTCACAGTTTTCGGATGAATTTGTTTCTTTCCCTACGCCATGAGCACTGGTGGTACTGTTAAGATGCCCCAAAGAAGTAGCTGATTCGAATGTTTTTCTGGGATCATTACTATAATCAAATGGAGGGTAAATGATGACTAACAAAGTAACAATGAGAAAAGTGGAAAAGAAAGCTAGTTTTGCAATCGGATTTGATGAAGGATGTTGAATACTTGAATATTGCCGCTGATGATGTTGATCGCCTTCTTCTTCTTCTTCTAATTGGTCTCTCATTGATTTTTTTTCCCTCTCTAAGAAGATCAAATTTAGGGTTTGATGGATTGGAAATTTGTTTGACTGTTAGGTCTCAGATGATCTATATTTATGCTTATAATTTATATACACTGCAGAAAATCAAAGTGAAAGTTGCAAGTTTGGTGAATTCGGCAACTGCGATTTAAGGCAAAGAATTAATTAATACAAGAAGCTAGCTAGCTAGCTAGTTAAAATCTGCAGATTGCCATTTCCATTTTGAGCCTATGAATTGGGATCAGTAAACAATTGTTACTACCTAGTTAGCGCCCGTATTTATTAAAGTTTGGCAAAGAATATATTCATTAGTACAGGCGGCTGTGAGATGATGTCTCGCGAAAGCTATCCAAGGGAATTGTTAGAGATTGGTTAGCTCTAGTAAGAACCTATAATGCAACAATAAGTTGGGTTATTTCCCAAAAAAAATTAATTAAAATAAACGTGGACAAATTTGAATTTTTCATAATATTAGGGGACAGAAATATATCTCTCGAATTTCCGAAATCCGAGTTCTAATTAAAATTAAAGATTCGGATTTCATAAATCCGAGCCTATATTTAATAATAAAATAATAATTAAATAAATTTTGTTGAATAATAGTTTTTAAAAATTCTTAAATGAACAGTGCCGTTCGGATTTTCGACATCCAAATTTATTTAAAAAATAATAAATTGAGGCGCGAAATATTTGAACTCAAATAAGGAGTCCTGGACTCCTTAAATAAACAGTAGTACTTAGATTTACAAAATGTGAGTGTACAAAAAGAAAAAAGAAAAAAAAATTGAGGCACGAAATTTTTGAATCCAAAAATCGGAAGTCCGTAATCCGGTTTTCTGTATTCGGATTTTGGAAATTCGACTGCCTTTAATTTTGGTTGGTGGAAGTAGGCATGTGCCATAAATTGGAGGACCAAAAAATAAATAAAAAAATCCAGAATTGACCAAACTCGGATTCAGGAAATCCAAGGCCACGGTAATTCGGATTTCTAAAATCCGAGTTACTTACGGACTCGGATTTTGTAAATCCGAGTTTAACGTGTTATAAAAGAAGAAAAATTCAGACAGTTCTCATTCGAGAACTGAGTTGGATTTTCTGTTTTTGCAGCTCAAACAAGGGCGAATTGGAGCTTTTGATGCATTCTTGCCTCTAGATACGTGGGAATCGTTATTTGAAAGAGGTTAGATTGCAAAACCATGTTATTTAGTTTAGTTTTGTATTATATTGATTGTTAGAATGATGTATGATAGATTTGGGTTTATGTTGGTTGGTTGTTTGGATGTTTTAGGTGTTGATTTTGAGGTTAGGGATGAGAAATCATAGTTATTCATGAGATATGGAAGTTGATTTATAAGTATTTTAGTATTTTATAGGTTTTTTGAATTATGAATGGAGTATGTATGGTATATTTGTTGATTTTGTTATTAAGAAATGATTAGTTATTGATGTTTTTTTTAACAGTTATCAATGGCACGTAATGTATCATACATGCTTAATTTGTATCATACAAGCAAGTATGTGATAGAGAATGGTAGCATCAACACTTTTTCGAATATGCCGGATGATGGTTTGTTTGTTGAGGAAAGGTTGTCATATGAGGGATTGATTAGTAAGATTTGTATGACACTTGGTTGGGATCCAGCACACGTGAAACTCTACCTTTCTTTGATTTTCGATAGTCCCAGTGGTAGGTATGTAGTGAAGATCAAGAATGATTCGCATGTAGAGTTCATGAATCGTGTAGATCCAATGTCATGTTTGGATTTATACATAGATTTGGAAGATATCACTCAAGAAGAAAGAGAAGCGAGTTTGGAAAACGTGTCATTTGGTGGTTTTCAAAGGGGGGAACGTGCTAGTACTTCTCGAAACCGTGATGAAGAGGAGACACCTTTATTTGCACAAGATGACTACCGGGAAGAGTCGGATTCCGACTACATAGCTCCAAGTGAAAGCGAAGAAGACTGTGATGTCTTCGGAGAGAGTGATTTTGAAGAAAGTGATGATGAAAGGTTGGAAAATGAGGAAATGGATTGTAATCCATTGCCTTGACGCCATGTATATAGTAAGATGGGGAAATGGGATGCCTCATGTGTGGACAAGGATGAGTTTGCTCTTAAGATGTGGGATGAGACGCCCGAAGGAATAGACATTGATGTTTGTTTCAAATGTTAATCATAAGCAAAGCATGCTTTGAAATTATGGAACATCCATCATAAAAGGGAATATACGGTCGCCGCCAGTAGTCCAACGACGTGGGCTGTACGGTGCAGAACATTAAATGTGGAAAGTGAGGATGGTGAACCAATATGTGAGTGGAAGATGCATGTGTCTTTGAAAGCTCACGGCCTTCATGAAATTGTGAGATGGCATGATGCACATAATTGCATGACTCCCATGAATGATAATGACAATCGGTGTGTGGATGCGTCTTTGATTGCTAGACTCATCAGGAGAAAAGTTGAGGACAACGTAGATTATACGGTAGCCTCGGCACAGAAAGATGTGAAGACCTTATTGAAAGTAGATGCGCCATGTAAAAGGGCGTGGCACGGGAGGAGGAAAGCCATAGAAGCGGTCTATGGTGATTGGACCTCGAATTTCGAAGAACTTCCATGGTAAATATCAAGGTTTATTCGTGTATTGAAATATTTTTAGTGTTTTTTTTACATGTATTGAAATATTTTAACTATGACTTGTTTGTTATGTAGGTATATCGCTGCGCTTAAGTTTGCTAATCCTGAGACTGTAGTAGAGTGGGAATGGAAGCAGGGACAAGAAGGTAGGAACAGGGAAAATAGGACATTTAAATACGTCTTCTGGTCATTTGCACCAATGGCTGCGACGTTTTTTGAATGTCCACCGGTCATTTGTATTGATGGAACCTTCTTGCGTGGTGGATACAAGGGTAAATTGCTTGTTGCGGTGGTCTATACCGCAAACAAGCACATTGTACCGGTTGCATTTGCAATTGTGGATGAGGAGACAGTAGAGAGTTGGACATTTTTTATGAGGAATTTGAGGTTGCGGGTTGTGTATGATAGAATCATAAGTGTGATATCCGACCGGAATGTAGGGTTGTTGAGCGCAATGTCACAGATGGATGAATGGCGTGATTTAGGTGATGGTGGCCACTTTCTTTGCCTCCGCCACGTTCGCAACAATCTTGTGTCACGATATAATAGCAAAAAGGTGAAGCGGTTATGTGGGAAGATAGGCACGACGCTTTCAAGAGTGAAATACAACTGTATGAGGGCATAGCTTATTGAATTCTAACCTGCTGCATGGGAGTATCTTCAAGGGATTGGAGGGAGTAATTGGGCTCGATTGAAAGCCGGTTTTCGCCGTTGGGGCATAGCGACAACAACCATTTCTGAGAATTACAACAATGCATTGAAAGGGATCCGTTTTTTTACCAATTAGAGCCTTGATCGGTAAAACCTTTCGCAAAACTGTGAAATTCTACAGAGAAGAACAATTGTCTGCGAGAAATTGCATGACACCGATCCCTCCTGAGTTATGGAAAAAATACGAGAAAATGAACGACAAAGCAGCTAGTTTTGAAGCCACCCCTTTTGATGGTGATGATGCTATGTGGCGTGTTGTTACTGCAACACGGCTAAGTGGCAGGGGTGGGTCTTTGCATACGGTGAACTACGACGAACATAGGTGTTCGTGCAGGAAGTGGCAAGAGTACCGGATGCCTTGTACGCACGCACTCCAAGTTTGTCGGAGAAAAGGGGATCGGCCTATTGATCTATACCATAGTGTGTGGCGCCTTCCAACGTGACACATACAATTTGATTACACGGGCTTTGTTCTGGTTCCCGATGAGGAACAATGGCCGTCGGTTAATTGGAACATCATTCCGAATTATGAGCGTCTTGTATTGCATGCGGGACTAGGACGAAGACCAAAAAAGAGACATAGAAGGCAAATGGATTACAGGGGACGCTGGAGCTGGGAGGAATGTTGGAGATGTGGACAACAAAGTCATGATGCCAATTCTTGTCCGTTCTCGCACCCAGGAGTTGATAGAAGACCTATGAATGACAGCTGGAATTGAGAGTCATTTAGTGTTCTTGCAAGTTATTTGGAATGACAACTATTTAAATAGAAGCAAACAAAGTTATGTTTTGATAAATTCGGATTATAATGTTAACATTGAATTGTTCGGATTGTAATGTTAACATTACATTGTAGGTGCTGGTGCTGTGATTGTGATGAAATATATACTAGTTTTTCATAATAGGTTTTGGGATTGTGCAAAAAACTCATTTTAAGGTTTTCTAAAGGATTCGGATTTCCGCAATCCGAAAGTACGCGTTTTGTATTACGTTCGGATTTCAGAAATCCAGAACAAGACTGATTTCCTGCAGCAAAGTACTCGGATTTCGGAAATCCAAGTGTCACGGGCTTACTTTTTCAAAGTAACGGCCGTGCGGCACTAGCACAAACCAACTAACGATCAAGTGCTAGCTCAGCCTTAAGACCCCAAAACGTGCAAAGCTAGGCAAGACCTTAAAGAACGGAGGCAAAGAAAAACTTAAGAGAATTTGAAAGTGAAAGAACGATGAAAGCACAAGAGAGCTTAAGGAATGCTTGAGAACTCTACTCAAAGCTTGGATGATTACAAATGAAGGGGGGCATGGGGTATTTATAGGCAAACCCCCAAGTCCTAAAGAATTCTAGAGAATTCTATGTACACAATAAAATAATGGGATTCTAGAGAATTCCTACAATAAAATATTCTAAGTTCAAAATATCTACAAGTCTCTAGAATCTGCCACACGGTTCTAGCAAACTCGGGTAGCTTCCACACGGTTCCACTCATTTCTAGAGAGTTCCGGGCCTCTCTAGAAAATTCCAGAGTCTTCAAGATTTGACTGGAGAATTCCACAAGGCTCTAGACCGTTCCGTCCCATGTCCGTCTACGAAAATAGCCCGTTTCGCATCAAACCACCCGAATTCGTGGTGAAGAAAAACTGTCCGTGACATCCTCCCCCACCAAAATGGTGCATCGCCCCGATGCACCTAAGTCTCGAAGGCAATGTTGATAGGAATGGGTGCACGATTCTCCTCAAAGTCCTCGATCAATTTGGTGAATTGCCAAAGCTTCTCGATTGGCTCCCAACTCGTCTCACTCATTGGCAAATTCTTCCATTTCACCAAGTATTCTTTAGTTGCTGCCCCGCTCCGCCCGAACGATCCTCTTAGAAAGGATCTCCTCTGCGGTCCGTTCCTCATGCTCGCGTACGCCAGCTGGTGCCCTTGTGGAAACGTTCCGTTCTTCGTCCTCTGGGTCCTTGCGGTATGGCTTAAGTAGGCTCACATGAAAGACTGGATGAAGCCTTGAGAAGGCCTCGGGTAGCTCCAGCTTGTAAGCAACCGAACCCACTTTCTTAAGAACGGTGAAAGGACCCTCGTATCTGCGCATGAGACCCTTGTGTAGACCACGGCTCCGTCCATGTTCATAAAGCTTCACCAAGACTTGGTCGCCTTCTTCAAACTCGCGACGGGTCCGTTTCTTATCTGCCCATTTCTTCATGCGCGCGGCTGACTTCTCCAAGTAGAGTTTTGCCTCGTCGGCCCGTTCTTGCCAATCTTTGGCAAACTTGTATGCGGGTGGGCTATTGCCCTTGTAGCCCCCAAGAATGTCCTTAGGCGTAGTCGGTTGGAAACCAAGGATAATCTCAAACGGGCTTTTGCCCGTGCTCTCACTCCGCATCAAGTTATAGGAAAATTGGGCAACGTCTAGCAAACGTACCCAATCTTTCTGGTTGGCTGCCACATAGTGCCTAAGGTACACCTCCAAGAGGCCGTTGATGCGCTCCGTCTGCCCATCCGTTTGCGGGTGCAAAGATGTAGACATCTTGAGCTCCGTCCCAAGCAAACGAAAGAGTTCTTGCCAAAAACGGCCGGTGAACCTTGAGTCCCCGTCGCATGATCGATGTAGGCAGTCCCAATACTTCACCACATGCCTAAGAAAGAGTTTGGCCGTTATCTCCGCGGTGCACTCTTTTGGGGCGGGTATGAAGACCGCATACTTAGACAAACGGTCTACCACAACAAGTATGTTGGTGCAACCCTCGGAAACGGGCAGGCTCACGATGAAATCCATCGAAACGCTGTCCCACGGGCGTTCGGAATAGGCAAGGGTGATAACAAGCCATGCGGGTGGTCTTGCTCGGTCTTGTCTTGTTGGCAAACTAGACAAGTCCTTACATATGTCTCCACGTCTTCCCGCATGCGAGGCCAATAGAACCGTTCATGTACTAAGGCAAGTGTGCGATGCGTACCCTGGGTGACCCGCATAACGGCTATCATGGCAATCCCTTAGAATCTCCCTTCTAAGTCCATCCCATGCGGGCACGTACAAACGGTTCCCTTTGGCATAAAGTATCCCATCCTCAAGCCAGAACCGCGTTGTCTTGCCTTCCTTCACGAGCTCCATGAACCTTTGGGCTTGACGGTCGTGCTCAAGACCCTTCTTAATGCGATCAACCAGCGTTCCCTCGGGTATGCTAACGATTGGAGCAAGACACGCCTTTCGGCTTAGGGGGTCGGCCACGTGGTTAGTCTTCCCCCGGGCTATACTCAAGCTCGTATTTAAACTCGGCCAAGAAGTCCAACCAACGCGCTTGCTTGCTTGAAAGCTTAGGTTGGCTTTGATGGTAGCTCACTGCCCGATTGTCCGTCTTGATCTTGAACGGTGTGGCGGCCTTCAAGTAATGCTCCCAAACTCTAAGGCAGTGAACTATAGCCAACATCTCCTTCTCGTGCGTCGGCCACCTTTTCTCGGTCTCATTCAGCTTGCGACTTTCAAAGGCGATCGGATGACCATCTTGCATGAGAACGCCCCCAATGGCGAAGTCCGAAGCGTCCGTGCACACCTCGAACGGTTTCTCAAAATCAGGGAGAGCTAGGACTGGCTCTCGAGTGACGGCGTCCTTTAAAGCCTCAAACGCGGTTTGGTGTTTTGGTGTCCAACACCAAGCTTGCCCCTTTTTCAAGAGATCCGTTAGTGGAGCGGCTATAGCGGAGTGCCCTTC